TCTCTTTAAAGATCGGGTAAAAAGATAAAACACTTAGGAAGAAACTTAAAAAATGTGTAAAGCCAATACAAAGAAAACTTTAGAACTCTCCTGAAGGGCAGAAACGAAGACTTAGAAAAAGGAACAAAACTACTCTGGGACAGAAACACTTTACCTTATAATAGTGATATGAAGATGTCAGCTCTTTCTGAGATGACTTAATGCAACCCTAATAAAAAAGGCAACAGGGTTTATCGTTATGTGTTGACTTTAGTACTGCTGTATACTAATTCCATTCAGAGATATAGTAGTTAAATAAGGTGATCGACACTGGCTCCATGTTTAAACGGGGAAGGTAATGTTTCATCATGATATTCTTAAACTTTTTAAATAATGCTTTGTTTTTTAAAAAAGTTAAAAGTCTTATATTGAGGGGCTGGCCCGGTGGCGCACTGCTACAGTGCGCTGCTTGGGAAGCGCGGCGGCGCTCCCGCCGAGGGTTCGGATCCCATATACCGGCCACTCACTGGCTGAGCAAGGTGTGGGAGCAACACCGTGGGTTGCGATCCCGTTGCTGGTCCCGGTCTGGTACGGGCGCGACACTGAGGGTTGCGATCCGTTGCCGGTCACGAAAAAAGACAAAAAGGAAAAAAAAAAAGTCTTATATTGAGGAGATGTATACTAATTGCTATTATATTATCACTTAGGGTAATTAAATGTAAATGTTTGAGTTTTCAGTTTTATTTCCATATTTTCTTGGAGAGAGAATAGAAGTTCCTGAATGATTAAGTCACAGTTAGGTACATTAGTTACAGTATTTAGTCACTTCCTCATTCTCATCAGTCCTCTGGAGGACAAAAATTCATCAAAGACCTAAGACAAAATAACATGTTTTGATATGTAGTAAAACTTCTGCAAATAAAGTGCTACCTATAAAAACATAAATATACAACATATTACAGGTCTGCGCTCTGTCTTACCAAGTTCTTATTGAAATTTGTTTGCAAATAGAATGTAAAAATGCCTCTATGGAAGTCTAATGACTTTAATTTTCATGTAAAATAACATTTCAGAATTTTGATATACAACCTAGCTTGGGTAGTACGCATTTGATGTGTGATTGTTTTAGGGGAAAGCTATAGCCAAAGATCAGGTAAGACTCCCTTCTTCGTGTCAGTTCCCAGATTAATTTATAGTTACTTTTAATATGAAAATGAACAAAAGGTCCAGTTTCCCACAGATGACAGTCAGAAGGACTTTTCAACAAGGTTCTTTTAATTACTATCAAGATAACATTTTTGATTCCTATTATTTAATATTAAGTTTAATTGCCTAGTTCCTGTCCTTGTTTTTCAGCACTCTGCTAGTAAGATCAAACTTGTTTCAATTTCTGTCTCTTTCCTCATGTTAAGTGGAATGGACAAAAAGAAGCTTTTTAGTCAATTTCTGTGGACACGGCCTGGTCACTGCTTTTCCATTACCTAGCTGAATGGTCTGCCTCTCTCTAAAATACTAAAATGATTGACAATAATGAATTACAGCTTTTCTTTTCTCAATTAAGATTCTGAAAGGAAGTTCCCTCTTCAATTTAATAGAAATAGCAAGCGCGCAAACATTCTCATGACGTAGAGCAAGGACATAGATTTTAAGAAAAAAAACTCATACCTCTCTTTACTTCTTTGCTTATATGTGATTAATTATATGCAAATGGAAACCTTGTATTATCATATTCTTTTGACATTTATCAATCCATATATGATGAAAGATGCATAGACACCTAATAATTTACCAGAATGTCTCTCCTCCCAAGCCATCAGCCTGCAGAGGTAGGGTTGTCCAAGCGTTTTCCTGATATTGCCGCTCTTTGAGGAATGTGAGGAAGTCACCCATACGAGGAAACCACCAAACTTTATAGTGTTAGCAGAGACTTAAGGAAATGGAAGGACAACCCAAGTTGTAGGATGGAAAGACCAAGTGCTATTAGCATTTCAAGTATACCGAGATAAATGTTTAGATTTCACACTAGTCCCCAGATTGTCAGTCATTTCTTTGAAGGGAGTATGTGCAGGGAAATGTAATGGTTCTAAAATTCATCTGGTATAAGAAAAATGTAAAAATATGGAAGATATTTTTAAAATTATATGAAGCAGTACTATTCCTATCAAGCAGTGAAATGTAAATTTACTTTTCCACTTTTCTGTGAATCAGCATTCTTTCTACTTGCCTTACTTATTCCCATCATGTTCCAGGATATGTAATCTTAAATGAAAATCAAACTCTCTTAACTCAGCGTTCCCCTCCAGCTGTGGTTCTACATGTTCCTGTTTTTCTTTATAGCTAAGCTTCTAGAAGGTTTGGCCTATACTACACTTCCATAGTTCCTCAATATCCTTTTCATGCTCGACCCACTCCATTCTCGTGTCTGTCCCCATCACTACACTGAAACTACACTTTGAAAGTTACGGGTTTGCTAGTCCATCTAGCGTATCTAACGTTATGTATTTCTGTCCCCATTTGCTAGACCTCTCAGCATTGTGCACAGTTGGTTTCCTCTTCTTGCAACTGTCTCCTTCCAAGTTAAGCATAACTCAGCTGTCATGCCCCCCCAGTTTTCCTCTTACCTCTGTGCCTTCCTTCTCTGTGTCTCTTACTGAATTGTTTTATCTAAGTTCTAATGGTTAACATGGCCTGTGAGGTCCCACATGATCTTACTCATCTACCTCTTTATTCTCATCCATGAGAATTTCCCACCAAGCTTTAGCCCATCTCCCACCAAGCGTTAGTCGCACTGACTCTCTTGTTTTCTCCCACATCCCAAGTTTGCTCCCACTTGTCAGAGCCCTGTTTTCTCTGCTTGCAATGGTCTCCCCAATACTTATCACAAGTGGCTTCTCTTATCCATCGTGTCTCACTTTAAAGTGACGTTCCCTGAATCTACTTTTCTTTGTAAATAAGTAAAAAGTTTGCTGCCTTTTATACTTTATCTCAGTTTTTTGTATATGTTTCATAGGAGTTCACACAATTTGGAATTATCATTTGTTTCTTTACTTGCTTACTGTCTGTACATTTTGAAAGTTTACTGGAGGACAGGAGTTATATCTATGTGTTTGCATTTTATAATCACTTTATGCCTGGCACCTAGTATACTTCTTGACTCAGTAGGATTTCAGTATTTAACAATCAAATGAATAAACAGAAATTGAAGCAGCATAGTATTAGTAGGATAATAGACCCAGAGGACCTATCACATAGTACCAGTAGGAAATAGACCCTCAGAACCCACCACATATAAGAATGTGATATATGATAAAGTATCACGAATTAATGGAAGCAAGGAAGTCGCTATTGAGATTATTTGTGTGACATTTGGACATAAAAATCACTTCAAAGCTTTGCCTTATGGCAGAAGAAACTTCAAAAGAACTGAAGTGTTAAATATAAAATGCCAAACAATAGGAGAACCAAAAGAAAGTAGAACTTAGCATTTATCAGATCTCATGGGACTAGACATACATTTCTAAACTTAGAAATACTGTAAGAAATCATAAAGGAAAAGATGACAGCTTTTAAATTTAAAATCATTAGTATATCAAAATAAAAAGTCAATGTAGGTGCTATTGGAGGGTAAATTCCTACAGCCTCTTTGAAGAATAAATTGAGATTGTCCAGTAAAGTTGAGTATGTGGATACCTTACAAAACAGCAATTTCACTCCTAGGCTTATACATAGAAACACTTGGCTTGTTGGCACAGGGAAACAAACAAGGATGTTTAGCAGCATTGTTTATCAGTGGGGAAAATGGGATCATCATACACGCAGTAAAGTTGAGTATGTGGATACCTTACAAAACAGCAATTTCACTCCTAGGCTTATACATATAAACACTTGGCTTGTTGGCACAGGGAAACAAACAAGGATGTTTAGCAGCATTGTTTATCAGTGGGGAAAATGGGATCATCATACACGTCTTCAACAAAAGGTAGATGAATAAGTTGTGATACGTTCCTATGCTGGAATTCTATACGTGAATGAACTAGGACAACAGCTCCATATAGATGGATCTTAGAAATACTGTGATGAACCAAAAAAAGGAAGTTGCAAAAGAATATATAGTATGGTACCTTTTATTATAAATTCTAAAAACCTGTGCAACAAAATTATTCATTGTTTAAGGACAAATACATGTGTAATAAAAGTATTAAGAGATGCACAATGATAAGCATCAAGTTCAGAGTCACGATTACTTCACTGAGGTGGGGAGGAGGAGGATGTGATGAGGGAAGTGCACACGGGGAACTTCAAAAGTGTTGGTCGTATTTTATTTCATAAGGCAGATCTTGGGTGCTCAGGTTTTTATTATATTACTCAAAGCAGTTTTCTATGGCTGAAATATTTCTTAATACATTTTTTTTGTAAAGATAAGGACTAAACAAGGTAATATAGATAAAATGTTTGATGCAAAGATAATATATATTATATGAAAATATGCAAATTGCAAAAAAATAATAGCACTGATACTCATTTACCTAAGTGGGCCAAATAATTGAAAAGAAAATTCACAAAAGGGCTAAAGAAATGTTTTAAAATGTGCTCAAGCTCAATAATAAGTAAAGAAATATAAGGCCAAATTTTCAACTGTAAAACATTTGAAGTGTTTCATGCTACCCTGGTATATTTAAACTCTGTACCCAGTGAATTTACTTCTAAGAAATAGTTTTCAGAAAGTCTTCAACTATTTCTAATAATTATTATCTTTGAGATATAGAATTGTAGGCCCTTTTTTTTTATTTCACATGTGTTTTTTAATATTTTCTCAATATTTAAGTGACATTAACACCTACTGATAGTATACTTATAAATTAGTAATATTCCCTAGTTGCTATTCCTTTATAAACCAATTAAACTAGGAAATGATATTTGAATATCTTATAATAGATTATTTTTTTCTTCAGCAAGCAACTTGATTTGAAAATAATGTTCATATATTTACGTAAGTTTATTGTTTTCTGCTTTCTCTTTAGGAAAATAAAGAAAGGCAGGAAAGAATTGAACGAAAACAAAAGAAACGTCATTCCTTTCTTGAAAATGAGACACTTCCTCCATGGAGCCCTCCAAGCAGAACTGTGTTCTCAAAAGTGTGTTGATAATTCTAGTTCTTGCATTATTTAGTTATTATTTTTCAATTCACCTATTTTAGTCATAGGTTTAAAACTATTTATTCAGTTATTTATAGTTAGAAGAATCTATTTTAATTAAATGCCAGACACTTCTGCTGACAACAAAAAAGATACTTTCGAATTTAATCAGTGAAAGCACTTTTGGAACTGTAGATAAACTACCGGGAATGAGAAGCTTATAATCAGATTGTTCTTAACATTAAAATACACAAAGCTTTATCATGTCCTGATAATTCTTGCAGTGGAATGATACATGATTACTTTCACTAAGTTCTGCACATTAAGTATCTTTAATCCCAATAATAAAAAGGAAACAATCTAGGTACCATAATCATAGAGATAATTGAATTTGTAGATGGTTGTGTATCTCGATTCAGTTTTTTAAATGAATAGTCACTGGTAAATATGCATATATTATTTCTTCTAAAACTGAACTTTAGCTCAAAGCAGTTGTATTTGTATTACGCAACTTAGAATTTTGTTTAATTGGGGCAAAAGTTCAGTAGAACACTAGTCATCAAGGCATTTTATTTAAGAATTTTACCTCATGTTTTAATGAGTGTACATTAATTGTTCCAGTCTTACGTGACAATAATGAACCCACCTCTGAATTTTTTTCTAAACTCCGTCCTATTTTGTTTATTATTTCAGTGATACCAAAAGACATCAATTTTATAGTACTGATGTACTTACACATTAGTTGTGGAAATTGCACAGAAGTTCAAGGTCATTATTCCTATAGCCATTTTCCAGACTAAAGCCATAAAGGTGATTAAGGCAGTTGTCTTTTTAGTTAATCCAGAGTTTTATAGCTTTTATTTAGGAGACAGCTGTGTGGGCAGGTAAACTTTTAGAAAATGTCCAAAGGACCTTTATTTATTTGATCTCTGCATATCCTTGTATTAATTGGCCTCATACTTGACCTGTCTAGTTTAAGACAGACCAGGTGTCTACTCTTGGAGTTGAAAGGCTGCTTTAGTCAATTATGCAGTGCAGAGATGACGGATGAGAATAAAGAGTTACTATTTATTGAGCACCTATTATATCATCTCTGCTGGATCTTTATAAATGTATTTCTCATCTTTACAACTATTCAGGGTAGGTGTTACTATTCATTTTTGTAAATAAAAATACTGAGGCTCAGAGAAACCAGATAACTTGCCATACATCCAGAGTTTGACTGTGTTGGGATCAGAACTGATGGTCTGCTTGACTGAATCTGCCTTCCTCCAGAATCACTGTGCTTTTTTTCACAGTCTCATGTAGACTCTGAGAATTTTAATCTTGTCTTGTATTATATCAACCTTGCAAGCACGTGTATTGTTATTGAGAGATTATCTTTTTCTGCAGAGATATCTGCCTGTTATTAGAGATGGTGAATGCCATTAAGTCTATAAAGTGAAGTAAGAATTCGTAAGATTTAAGGAGTTACTCAGACATCTTGTATCTAGTATTAGAATGTCAGAAAACTCCGCAGGTTATGTAACATAGGCTTTGAGATAGTAACCCAGGAGGTTTCACACACTGAGCGTCAACCTTCTTGCTGCATGTATGTGCAAGATAAGAAAGATTTCATGGATCACTTTGTACGGATATATCACTGCTACAGACAAGTAAGATAAATTTCATAGATAAAACTAGAAACCTTTTATACTGCCAGAACTAGGAGAATAGTTCATGAAATTGAAATGATAACAAGCAATATGTATTATCAACATGGGATTTAGGACCTGTCTTATTCATCTGTGTGTCCCCCGTAATACCAAGCACAGTGCCTACCAGAATATATCAAGTGTTTACTATACTAAAATAGCTATTCAGAGCTAAAAAGATATTTGCAAATTCCAGGGAAGTAAAAGGATAAATAAGTACAGCTACTTTTGGGTATGTGAGATCATAAATGTGTGTTATAGATTTCACATTAAATATTTACTTAAACTTCCTGATTGTTTTCTCCTACATTATTTTATTTAGTGGTGTGCTACTATTATCTCACAGATTTTGGTGAGAATTGAATAAAATTAACTAGTCAGTGTTAAGTATTTGGTACATAAAGACTTAATAAATGTTTATTGTTATCATGATTTATTTACTACCATGAGTCCTACATTTTCCCACTTCAGGAAAGTGAGAAGGTTAACATAGATGAGTTGATAGTGTTTATTCAACATTACACAATTTTAGCATATAGGAAGAAATCTCTACCTTCCTAGCCAGTCTAGTTTGTACTGCTCAAAAAAGAATATAGCAAAGAATATAGCAGTGCCTTGTGTTAGGGCCCTCCTGAAAATGAAACTGAGTACTAATTTCTTAGGTTTGCTTCTGAGGTAGGCTGAAATAAGAAATTGAGGTGTTTGCAAAGACCCACCAAGTCATTTCCCTCAAATGTGAATGGAGACTTCTGTCTTACTAATTAATATATTATTAATATATTCTGTTTATAGCAGTCTGTGCTGAAATTATCTAGTTGAATGAAATCACTTTTTCTGTAGCAGAAATAAAGCTGAGTTTTGGGAGGTGGGTGAAAGTACAGTACTACTGTTTACTTTCTAAGATCCAAAAGGGGAACATCAAGCCTGGTAATAATTTCTTGAATATATTTATCTATTTAAAAGGTATGGTTTTCCCATATTTCTTTAGAAAGTACTAAGTATCAATATAGGTAGGTATTTATTCATTAAGTTTTCATTAATTTATAATGTGAGGGAATGTTTACTTCAAATTAAGGACGTTAAAAGCCTATAAACTTTCATATTAAACTTCCAGTTTCATAAATTGCATTGATTACTTGAAGAATGCTCATATTTCAAAGTAAAGAAAATAGGAATTTTATGAATATTTTAAAACATTACTGAAAATAATTTTCCTCAGAAAACATATTTGTAGAGAAATTTGAATGTTAATACTAAAAAATAAACATTTATACAGAATTTAAGTTTCATAATAATAACAAAAAATGGTAATGTTACATAAATAAAAAGAAACAATATGACATTTTAAATCAGAATGAGGTTAAAGTTTTCCTAATGACAGAAAATAACTTCATGGGATAACAATATTCCAGTGGTTTGTATTTGCACCACACTCTGAAAATGTTAGTTCATCCATTGTTTTAAATTATATTGAAATTAATGTTTTTCACTGTTGCCAAAGCAGTACCTGATAGTAGTTAGGTGTGCACAGTTGTTTGTTTTTTAGAGTGATATAACTATGCATCTGAAAGGGATTTTAATAATTTAATAAACTTAGTCCAAACACTTTATTTCTAAGTTGATGAAACTGATTTCCAAAGACTTTGACTTGCCCAACGTCACACAACTAACTACAGGCCAACTAGAGTTATAACTCAGCTATCAGGTTTACTGGTTTTATTCTGCCCACCATTCCACAATTGTGATAATCCGATAATATTTTCACACTAACCTTTGTATTAATTTAGTTAATTTTTGTCCTCTCATCTTTTTCTTTATTCCTCCACTGCCTTCTGCATAACTATCCACCAGATCAAAGCTTTTTGGGTACCTACACCACAATTCCAAATGTGGAAAAAGAATGAAGTTTCTTAAATCCTAAGTCATAGGCTAAGATACAGTAGAGAAAAGGAATTTCATAAAACGGAGTAAATTGCATGTTAAATTCCTCCACTGCCTTCTGCATAACTATCCACCAGATCAAAGCTTTTTGGGTACCTACACCAAAATTCCAAATGTGGAAAAAGAATGAAGTTTCTTAAATCCTAAGTCATAGGCTAAGATACAGTAGAGAAAAGGAATTTCACAAAACGGAGTAAATTGCATGTTAGTGAAAATCATTCCTAAGAATAAACTAGTACAGAAAACTTTGATTTCTCTAGTTTAATCTTGGCTCTGATTTTAATAGTGCTGTATTAATAGGTATTTAAGCCCATATGCTTCCATTCTACACAAAATAAAGATTAATTTTTCTAGTTCCTAGTTACAGTGGCTGTTGAAATAATAAAATACTGTGTAAATGCTAAACTAGAGACTTAGCCTAAATAACTGTTATTGAAGACCTCATCTTTGTAAGTATATGTATCTGTTTCCCTCTCTGAGAGCTTTATGAAACAGGAGCTATACTTTATATGTCTTAACATTTCTAGTTTATCAGTGGGCTCTGGATAAATATTCCTTGGCTGATAGAATAGCAAGTTAAAAATAAAATATTAAATAGTTCATAAGTGTTTGTAATGAATATATATATATATATATATAGTGTGTGTGTGTGTATATATATATATATAATGGCTCTAATGAAATTATAAAAATTTCATAAGTATTAAAATGACATTACAAATTATGTATATGTAACAACTATTACAAATAGTTTGAAATTTTATTGTTAAATATTACATCATTTTTTCAGTCCCAACAAAAACAAAATATCTAAAAAATGGAAAACAAAGGGAGTGTTTGTTTGTATTTGTGTGTGTACTATTGCATTAAGTTGGGAAAGAAAATAAGCTCATATGTATTCTAATATTTACAATTAAATGGATTGAGCCCTATCCAGAGAACTCTTTTCTTTCTTGGTGTCCTTCTTCCTGTGGCATTATTACAACAAAACAAAACAAAAAAGTAGTAAGCCCAGGACTCACTGGCTCATTCAGTCTAAAGGATAAATCCTAGATAGAATTATCTATTGACTAGAGCTGAAATTCAGATATGCCCAAGTATGGATGCTAAAGCCAGACTTTGCAGTGATGCCTCATCCCTGGCAAATAGATTGTGTGGTTGCTGCCTGTCTACCTTTATCTTATTACTATATCTAGAGTTCAGAGTTACACTTTTAAAGCTTGTGATTGTGATCTCCACAAATACTACCAGATGTTGATTATTCCATATCAAAACTGTTAGTTCATCAATCAGTGAACATACATAGTTCTTGTCCTCAAGGAACTTACGTTAGGGTCAAGAGGAAACAAACTCCACATGAACAAATATATAAACAAAGTAATTTCAGTTTCTGATAAATTCTATTGAGGACATAAAATAATTTAATGTGATTTAGCATGACCAAGGTGTGGAAGATTGCTTAATTTTAGCAGTATGATTAGGGGAGGCCCCTCTGAAGAAATAAAGTTGAGCTGTGACCTGAAATGATAAGAAGGTAACCCTGGAACCACTTGTTGGGAGAACAATCCAAGAAGAAGGATTTGAGGAGGGAAGAAGTCAGCAATGACTGACTGGTGGTGACCAAGGAGAAGATAGGGAGTAAATGAGGTCAGACAGGTAGGTAGACTCTAGACTATGTGGAACATTTGAAGCCACTTTAAGCAGTTTGTATTTTATTCCAAGTGCAATGAAAGGTTTTAGTTTGTGATTGAGGTGATCTGAAATATATTTTTCAATGTTCTCTCAGGTGACTGTGGGATATGGACTGTTGGGAGTCGTGGTGGATAATTTTATCTATCAACCTGACTAGATTAAAGAATACGTAGAAACCTGGTAAAGCATTATTTTGGGGTGTATCTGTGGGGGTGTTTCAAGAAATATTAGCATGTAAGTGTGAGTGGATTGTTGAGAAAGATCTGCCCTCAATATGGGTGGGCACTGTCCAATCCACTGGGGGCCCAGAGAGAACAAAACCAAACAGGAAAAAGTGAATCCTCACTCTATCCCTGGAGCTGAGATACACTCTTCTCTCCTACCCATGGACATCCAAACTTGAGACTTCAGCCTTTGAGTTCTAGGACTTATACCAGTGGCACCCTGGCTATCAGGCCCCAGGCCTGGGACTAAGAATTGCAGCATTGGCTTCCCTGGTTCTGAGGCTTTAGACTTGGAGTGAGCCATGCTACCAGCATCCAGTTTGCAGATGACCTATTGTAGGACTCCTCAGCCTTCACAATTGTGTGAGCCAATTCACCTGATAAGTCCCCTCTCTATATTTATATACATAACTTATTGGTTCTGTCTCTCTGGAGAACTCTGACTAATACAGGAGGCTTCTTTTCTAGTCCAGCTAAGGAATGATGTTAACTTGGATTAGGACTGTTGCAGTGAAGATAAGTGGCTGAATTGGGGATATACTTGGGAGGTAGAACAAACTTTTCTAATGGATTTAATGTAAACTATGAAAGAAAGAAAAATCAACAATGATTTCAAGGTTTCATTGTAGCCTGAGTGAATAGATGAATGGTGGTGATACCTTTATTCATATAGGCTTGAAGGTAACAGATTTGGGGGCAGGGATCGGGAGGAAGTCATAGAATTCTAAAAGCAGCAAGAGAAGAGTGTCAAGCCACTTATAAGGGATCCCCATCAGACTAACAGCAGACTTCTCAACTGAAGCTCAACAGGCCAGAAGAAAATGAGGCAATATATTCAAAATACTAAAAGAAAAAAAAAAATCGCCAGCCAAGAATAACTATACCCAGCAAGGCTATCCTTCAGAAATGAGGGAGAAATAGTGTGTTTCTCCAGACAAACAAAGCTGTGGGAGTTCACCACCACACACAAGAAATTCTCAAGGGAGTTCTGCATCTGGAGTCTGAAAAGTGATAATCATTATCATGAATAACAAGAAAGAATAAAACCCACAGGAAAAACAAAAATGCAAACAAGAAAGAGAAAGAAACTAAGTCTTACCACCAAAAAGCAAACTAACCGACATCAAAGATAATAAAAGGGAAGAAAGGTAAAAAAGATATTTAAGATATCCCAACAAAAATTGATAAAATGCCAGGAATAAGACAAATACCTTTCAGTGACAGCCCTAGATGTAAATGGATTAAACTCCCCACTCAAAAGACCGAATGAGTTGGGATAAAAAGCTAAATCCAACTATATGCTGTCTTCAAGAGACCGACCTCATCTGTAAAGACACACACAGACTAATAGTGAAGGGATGGAAAGAGATACACCATATAAATGGAAACCAAAAATGAGCAGTAGTAGCTATTCTTATATCTGATAGAATAGA